GACAAATGTGCAGATCTACAAAGACTTCTTTGGAGAGAACATGGAGAACTAAAAAAATATAAACTAGCCAGAGTTACATTTGGCATAGCAAGTGCACCATACTTAGCGACAAAAACGATTCAAATGTTGGCACATAAAGAAAAAGAAAAATTTCCAATTGCAGCAAAAAAAACCATGAAAGATTTTTACATGGATGATCTCCTTACCGGAGCTGATAACTTAGAAGAAGCAAAAGAAATATACACCCAAATTACGAAAATGATTACGGATTTCAAATGCAGAAGTGGGCCTGTAACAACAAAATTATTTCAGAACATATAGAGAAGGCAGAAAATACGGCTAATGATAATACATATGTTGTGAAAAACGATGATGTAGTGAAGACACTAGGTATCAGATGGGACAGAAACATCGATAAGTTTCCGTACGTAATCGATAAGTTTCTTTTCTTTTTTTTCTTTCTTTTCTTAATTAATATGAATCACAACCAGACAGAAATAATTACAAAAAGAACAATTTTGTCAACAATTTCTAGACTTTTTGATCCCATTGGATGGTTAGCACCCGTTATAGTAACAGCAAAAATTTTCATTCAAAAATTGTGGCTAGCTGGTATAGATTGGGACCAAGAGATACCAAATACACTAAAGGAAGAATGGAATGAATACAGACGAGAACTGAACAATTGTAAAGATATCACAATAAACAGGTAGTTACATACAAATAAAGAAGATTTCACGAATTGCATGGATATTCTGATGTTTCTACTATGGCCTACGCTACCGTCGTATACATAATAGTTGTAAAAGAAGATGGCTCAATATACACACACTTGATTTCAGCAAAAACTAAAGTTGCGCCTATCAAAACTATATCTGTCCCAAGATTAGAATTGTGTGGTACCGTGTTCCTAACCCATCTACTTATGAAAGTTGCAAAGCAATTAAATATCAAAAAAGATAATATATTTGCATATTGTGATTCTAAAGTTGTTCTTGCGTGGCTACAGAGCCACCCCAGCTGATGGAAGACATTTGTCGCAAATAGAACTGCGGAAATCATAAACTCATTGCCTTCTCAACACTAGCATCATGTGGCGTCTGTATGTAACCCAGCTGATGTTGCGTCACGTGGCATTTTTCCATCACAACTCTTAAGTCATACTTTGTGGTGGGAAGGACCAAAAAACTTGAAATAGAAAAATCCGAAATATGAACCATTACAAGACAATATTACAAATTTAGAGGAGAAAACAATTAAAGTTATGACCATAATGACAACCAATGAATTTAACTTCTTCGAGAAATATTCAAATGTAACAAAATTATTAAGAGTGACAGCATATATGGTAGAGCCAAGCGGTAGCTTTTGCAGTCGCACGGATGGGCCAGCTCGAACCGGGGTGGTACCACGACCTCACAGAATACCAGCGTGAAGTAGAGGTTCACCTCTGCGTTGCGCTTGGTGAGTGCAGGTGGCCGGAGGCCCAATTCCCCCCCCCCCCCCTCATCAACGTGGTAGTGGAAATAAAATAAAAGACTACCCCAGGAGGGTACCAGCACCCCTGGAGAATACCTCGCTGAGCATCCACGACCAAACTACTTCACTCCTGAGCGTAGGTGCTCAGGCTGCCCCGCGTATTCTGGGGGGGGGGGCAAAATTCCGCTCGCGACTAATGCTGCTCGGGGCAAGCGGAGCAATACAACCAAGGTGACCCCTGTCACGCTATCCGTGAATTTTAGCAACATCAGGGGACTTCATTCCAACCTTAACGCTGTCCATTACCATCTAGAGACGGCGAAGCCGGCCTTGCTCTTTTTAACCGAGACTCAGGTGTCCTCTCCGGCTGATACTTCATATCTCTCCTACCCGGTATACAAATTGGAACACTCCTTTGTGCCCCGGGCTGGAGTTTGTGTATACGTGAGAGAGGACATCTGTTTTCGACACCTCGGCAGGTCCCATCCGCAGAGATCGTGATACTCAGTGATTTCAACGCCCACCACGCTGAATGGCTTGGTTCTCGTTTAACCGATCATGCGGGTAGATCTGTCTACGACTTTGCCTTGGCATATGGTCTAACACAACTGGTTACTTCGCCTACGCGGATCCCAGATGTGGAAGACCATGTACCTTCCCTGTTGGACCTTCTGCTGACCTCTCATCCGGACGGATATCAGGTCTCCGTCGATGCCCCTCTGGGCTCTTCGGACCATTGTCTGATCCGGAGCACGGTGCCACTCACGCTCCAATCGCAATTGCGATCTGCAGCTTGTCGCCGTGTTTGGCACTATAGGTCAGCTGATTGGGACGGGATGCGGTCTTTTTTTGCATCCTACCCTTGGGGGCGGGTTTTCTTCTCGCCGGAAGATCCCAGCGTTGTTGCCGATTCTGTTGCTGATGTGGTACTTCAGGGTATGGAACTTTTTATTCCATCCTCTGTGGTGCCCATCGGAGGCAGATCCCAGCAATGGTTTGGTCGCTCCTGTAAAATAGCATCACGCTATAAGCAGGAGTGCTACCGGGCCTGGGCTGACGCATCAACGTCTCGGGATTTAAACACCAGCGCACTTAAAAAGAAGTATAATTCCGCCTCCAGGTCCTTCAAAAGCGTCATTGCCAAGGCAAGGTCTGAGCACATCGGCAGAATTGGCGAGAAGCTAGTTCGCCTTCCTTTGGGAACCCATGTATTCTGGTCTCTCGCCAAGGCTGTCCAAGGGAACTTCTGTCAGCCATCCCTTCCATCTCTGCACAGAGAGGACGACTCACTGACCCATGCCGCAAAGGAGAAAGCCGATCTGTTGTGCTCTCTTTTTGCGTCTAATTCGACTCTAGATGACGGGGGGAACACACCGCCGACCATCCCGCGATGTGAGTGCTCCATGCCGGATGTGCGATTTACACAGCGCTCGGTTCGCAAAGCACTCTTCTCCCTGGACGTCAGCAAGTCGAGTGGGCCCGATGGAGTCCCTCCCATTGTGCTGAAGACGAGTGCTCCGGAGTTGGCAGCGGTTTTAACGCGTCTTTTCCGGTACTCCTACTCCCAAGGCGTAGTCCCGAATTCATGGAAGACAGCTTTGGTCCACCCAATCCCTAAAAAAGGCGACCGCTCAGACCCGTCAAACTACAGGCTTATCGACATCACCTCCTTGTTCTTCAAAATAATGGAATCCATTATAAACTGCCAGCTCATGAGGTACCTTGAGGATCACCAGCTGATCAGTGACCGTCAGTACGGTTTTCGTCGGGGTCGATCAGCAGGTGATCTTCTAGTTTACTTAACTCATAGATAGGCGGAGGCAGTAGAGTCCAAGGGGGAGGCATTGGCCGTTAGTTTGGACATAGCGAAGGCCTTCGATCGGGTCTGGCACAAGGCGCTTCTTTCGAAGCTTCCTTCCTATGGGCTTCCCGAGAAATTGTGCAAATGGATCACCAGTTTCCTTGCTGATCGGAGCATCAAGGTCGTAGTAGACGGTGTATGCTCTGATTTCAAGCCTATCAACGCTGGTGTTCCACAAGGCTGCGTGCTATCACCAACGCTGTTTCTCCTGCGTATCAATGATATGTTGCTAACTGGTCGCATTCATTGCTATGCAGACGACAGCACTGGGGATGCCTTATATGCCGGCCGTGCCAATATTTCTCGGGAAAACGTCGCCGAGTACCGGGACACACTTGTGTCTGAAGTCGAGTCTTTGCTTAACAAAGTCTCGGATTGGGGCCGACTAAATCTAGTACAGTTCAATCCCCAGAAGACACAAATTTGCGCGTTTACCGCTAAAAAGAACCCCTTTGTCGTATCTCCTCAGTTTCAAGGCACTCCCCTTGCTGCCTCAGCCAGTATCGGAATCCTTGGCGTCGACATATCGAATAGCGTGCAGTTTCGTTTTCACTTGGAAGGGAAGGCCAAATTGGCCTCTAAAAAGCTTGGCGTGCTCAGCAGAGCGAGACAGTATTTCATGCCGGCACATCGCTTGCAACTTTACAAAGCGCAAGTTCGGCCCCACATGGAATACTGTTCTCATCTCTGGGCCGGGGCACCTCAGTGCCAGCTCCTTCCACTCGACCGCATCCAGTGCAGAGCGATTCGAATCGTCGACGACCGAGTTCTTTCCGATCGGCTCGATACACTGTCACTGCGTAGAGATGTTGCATCTCTTTGCGTATTTTATCGCATCTATCACGGGGAGTGCTCTGAGGAATTGTTCGGACTAATTCCAGCCGCTCAATTTCACCATTGCACGTCGCGACAAAACTCGCGTTACTATACATACCATCTGGATGATTGGCGGTCCACCAATGTGCGATTTAGAAGAAGTTTTCTCCCTCGCACAACTTCTTTGTGGAATCAATTACCACCAGCGAATTTTCCGAACCGATACGACTTAGAAACATTCAAGAAAAGGGCTTACACCTTTCTAAAAGGCCGGCAACGCATCTGCAATTCCCCTGGTGTTGCGGTTGTTCATGGGCGGCGGTAGTCACTTACCATCAGGTGAGCCGCATGCTCGTTAGTCCCCTATTCTATAAAAAAAAAATATTTGTTAAGAGTGTTTAAGAAAAACAAACCTAACCATTTGCATTTATCTGGACAAGAAATTGATAATGCCATGACTAAATGTGTAAGAATGTGTCAGAGTCAAGCATATTTAAGAGAAAGAGAGGAGTTGGAAATGAATCGACCTATCCACAACAATAGTAAATTGAAATCTCTGAATCCATTTCTTGATCTAAATGGAATTATAAGAGTTGGCGGAAGATTGACACATTCTAATATACCCCATGATTCAAAACATCAAATAATGCTTCCAGAGAACCATCCATTCACAAAACTTATATTATCAGACTGCGATATTAAAACATTGCATGGTGGGCCAATGTTAATGCTAAGTCATCTTCGTACAAAATTTTGGATTACACATGCGAAAAGTTTGTTAAGGAAAGTCCTACATAAATGTGTCACTTGCACAAGATATCGAGTGTCAACAGCAATGCAAAGGATGGGATCGTTACCTAAACCAAGGGTTACTCCTGCGAGACCTTTTCTGAATAGTGTTGTAGATCTAGCTGGACCCATTGATTTAAGATTGTCTAAAGGACGTGGTTGTAAAACTCAAAAAGGATATATTGTGATATTCATTTGCATGGTAACTCGCGCTATCCATATTGAAATTGTCACAGGCTTAACTGCTCAAGAATTTATAGCTTCCTTTAAAAGATTTGTTGGTCATAGAGGTAAATGTAAAAACATTTGGAGCGATAATGCCACTAACTTAACAGCCAGCAATAAAGAACTCATGTCTTCCTTCGAGAGAAGCTTTGAACAGGTTCGTAAAGAAATTGAAGAATTGTTAGCAAATGATGGTACAACTTGGCATCACATACCGGCCGCTGCTCCTCATTTTGGTGGATTGTGAGAAGCAGGAGTAAAGTCAATTAAGTTTCACCTAAAAAGGGTATTACAGAATACAACATTAACGTATGAAGAGATGGCTACAGTAACAACACAAATAAAAGCCACTCTTAATTCCAGGCCAATTTTACCCATGAGCAACGATCCATCTGATTACAATCCATTGACACCTGGTCATTTCTTGATAGGAGAAGCTCCGATTACTGTCCCTGAAGAAAGTTATCTTGACACCAAAATCAATCGACTAGACAGATGGAAAATTACTCAAAGGATGTTTAAAGACTTTTGGTCTAGGTGGTCTAGAGAATATTTGACTAGACTTCAACATAGGCATAAATGGACAGACAGTAAACCTAATATAGAAATTGGAAGTCTCGTACTTGTTAAGGAAGACTACTTGCCACCTGGCAAGTGGTTGATGGCTAGAGTATTAGATACTCATCCAGGCGCAGACAATTTAACTCGTGTTGTGACTGTGAAGTGTAAAAATTCAATACTTAAGCGTCCAGTCACCAAAATCTGTTGCCTTCGAATAGGTATAGATTTGTTTTATTTTATTTTTTTGTTATTATTGTTCACGGTGGGTGGTACCTTTTTTTTGTTTTATTTTGTTTAGCTTATTTTTTTTAATCTAACTATTGGAAGAACATCACGATGTCCTTGATGGGTGGAATGATGTGAGTTAAACGTTAATATTTTTTATTTTCTTGTTAGTTCGATAGATGTCGCTAATAGAAAATAATGCGTGCTATGGTTTTACTGTTCACGACAGTGTAAGTAAATTCAATGTAAGTTTATATTTCAAGTCTCATTATACATTCGATTCGATCTCGTCGTTTTATTTTTGGGACGACCTCACAGTAGGTGGCTTATATCATATAGGATATGTCTTAGTTATAGATGACAATTTTTCATACTGATGTCCGATCTATTACTATAACAACTTAATTGTCTTTGGACGAGATTTTATGCATCGTAACTAGTGTCTATAAAATGGCAGTAACAATGACCAATAACGAAACTTTTCGCTTTATAGAATAGAATCATTTTTATTCAATATAGATTATAGTACGTAATACTTATTAAAAGTAATTTTTTACTTTTACCACTAGTTCACAAAAAACCTCTGTCCTGGGAAGAACCAGCAAGAAACCCAGCGGAACCTTTTTTTTTAAAAGCACAATTTACAATATAATATTTCATACAATTGTTATGAAAACATTTAGAAACAGCATGGTAGTGATCACCGCATTCCCAGGGGTTATTATTAGTCATGTAATCTTTATTAATATAGTAACCCTTACTAGACAATTTTTACTTAATAAATAATTTAAACCTTTTGATAGAAAAGGTCTGCATATTTTCTGGGACTTTGTTGTAAAAGCGTATACATTGCCCCATGAAGGAATTACTGACTCTTTGGAGTCGAGTAACTGGTATAACTAACTTTTGCTTGTTCCTAGTATTTACAGAATGTACATCACTATTCTTAATGAAACTATTTTTGTTTTTATGTGCATACAATAAGTTCTCGTAAATATATTGAGAGGTCAAAGTTTATATATTTATTAACTTTGGCCTCTCCTTTATAGAGCTCTACCAAGCCGAAAATTGTTTGTGGAACAGAAGAAATAAAATTTCTTTTTTTCCATTATTTTTGAATAGCCCTTTCTTCGTTCACGTAGTAGCACGTAGGAGCAAACTGAACGACATTCCAACGTGTGGACGCCATCACAAGCTCTTAGCTAATATCTTTGCCAACACATTCGCCACTAAAGCTATATGTGAATATATAACTATAACGTGAAAAGCCGCCTTTAGGCGCATTACTCTTCCTTTGGTTGAATCATTGAATGATCTAAGAACAGGCATGGTCCAAGGTCTTAGCAAAGTGACTTTTGTTCTTGTCGTTTCCATTTTATTTTTTGTATATCATAATTAGCAATAATTATTGATAAGCTAATGTCGCTTTTAATTATAACAAGACATGTTCATTAGAGAGTATTATTTAATAGCAATATTCAAATAATAATTATTTTTAATGATAGCAGTAGTCATTTTTTACTATTTTAATTAGGAATAATATGTAATATTAGTATTTAATTGTGTTTTTCTTTTTCAGCGGCTTTTCTCTGAGTCTCGGCCCAATTCCGTTTATTTTCTTCAGAATTTGACATGGCATGGATTTTTGCAATGAAGTAAAACCCGACTGCGATGCCCAATGGATAGTACATCCAAATATTATTGTGTTTCATGTAGTAAAATATTGGGAATTGAGCTATTTTTGCAGAAATCGTGTAAGGAAATTTCATATGTCGCCCAGATTTTCTGAAAAAAAAAAAACCACTGTAAGTCAAAGTTTCCAAAACAAGTGTTGAACGAATATTAAAAATAAAATTAAGAAAGTTTATTAATAATTAAAAATTTGTTACAAAACGCACAGTAATAGACTACACATGAATTAATGAATGAATATACTTGTATTGTACACCACAAAATAAAAAGATACAGAAAATAGTGAAAATGTGCACTGTACAGTAATCAAATAAAATATAGCAGTTACAGTACGTTAGTACTATTATTTATTCTGTGGTTACAGCACAGTACTGTGATGCAAATTAAACAGACATAAACAGTAAGCTTTAAATCCCTTCCTCATTGTTTGGTATGACAGCGATGTAACGTCTTTTTTGTCGAAGTGTTTGTCAATTTCATACATCTCTTGATTTGTATGAAAACACTGCATACGGAACTATTTTATATATTTTTTGTATTATTTAATAGATAAAAATTAGCTATTTCTGCGATTACGAAAAAACAAAAGGAGATTTTGGGGCAATTATAGAAATAAATACATAGGTATTTATTGCAGTATGAAAAAAGACATTTTGACATTAAACTTTTATTTAACATTATTTAATGGGGGTAAACCCCATATGTTCACAAAACCATTAAGCCCAAACATCTTGTTGAAAAATTCTTGTTTTTGGACCGTTTCTTTTAAAAATCAATTTCAATATAAATCTCTTGCACTTCCAGATATTGATTTTCAAAAGAGTCCAAAAACAGGAGTTTTCAAAGTAGCGTACATTTACGATTATCGTATGAAATAAGCATTTTTTATTCATGCGATTATCGTATTAATAATAATTTTTTAATCATACGATTATCGTATGATTAGCAACATCTTTTTAAGGAGTGCCTATCCTTGTTTATTTATAAGGCTAGACATATGTACTTACTTACTTACTTACTTATCTTCACGCACAATCCCTGACGGGGTAGCCAGAGAGAACAGATCGCCAAGTGTCACGATCCTTACAAACCTCTTTCGCTTCTTTCAGATTCATTATCTTCTTCATGCATGCACGTCTAGGTATCCGAGTACTTTTGACCCTACCCTCTTCGAGCAATTTGCTCACATGGTCTTCGAAAGTTAGTCTCGGTCTACCTCGACACCTTTTAATATTAACTTTCGCGCTATATATTTTCTTCACCATTCGGTCTTCACTCATTCGCTCAACGTGCCCAAACCACCGAAGCACGCCCTTATCAATTTTTGTGATAAGGTCATCTTTCAAACCTGCCATATTGCGAATCTCTTCGTTTCGCTTTCGGTCGGCCATGGTAACGCCGCACATTTTACGAAGAGATCGCATCTCCACTGCATTCAACTTACTTTTATGCTTCTTCTGGCATACCCAGGTTTCGCTGCCATATAACAAAGTCGGTACCAACACTGCGTTATGTATTGCAAGGCGTGCACTCTTCGCTACGCCTTGCCTTTTGACTAACGCAGTCAGGGCACCATTGACTTTGTTCCCGGCAGCGACACGCCTGTCCACATCTAAATCACATCTTCCATCCCGGCTAAAAGCACTCCCCAAGTATACAATTTCATTTACCTGTTCTAGACATTCCTGATTTACCCATATTTCACACTTCGTTCTCTCTTCGTCCCTTTCAAATACCAGAACCTTAGTTTTATTAGCATTCAAACGGAGACCTTTAGTTTCACATTCCTCTTTCATACACGTGACTAATGCCTGCAGTTCTGCCTCTGATGGTGCTATAAGTACTGAATCATCAGCATACAACAGACAATTTACTTTAATGTCACCCAATTTCACACCCAAACAGCTATCTTTCAGCTTCTGTAGACATATGTACGATCATTGTTAAAGATATTAAAGTCTGAACTTAAATAAAAAACTTTTTAAAGACTACTGTTTGGGGTTTGGGCTTAAAAAAATTAAAATAATCTGTACTCATATGAAATTGAATATTCTATTATTATGTTACTACTAGTTAATTATAACTAAAGATAGTCATGAAATTTTCGATTACCCGGCAATAATACCTGCTTCGCGTAACGAGTGTTCTATTTTAGTATAAATTTCTTTAAGGTTTTTGGGAAAAACCATTCTTATTTATTTTTTAAGAATATAGACAAAGCAAACAACATTAATATAAAATGACACAAATGTCTAATAAACGTAGTTTGTTTTTCTAGTTTGGCAATCACTAATGGATTCTGCCAGCATCAAGTATTTCACAAAAGCTATACAATGTACCAGACTACCAGACTAAGATCAGTTTACATTACTTTATGTAACGAAGTTTTAGGTTATTTCCGGATAAATTTAAATATAATGATGTGTTTGCGGGAACGCTACACGTTTAAATAAAAACTAGTTTTTACGGATTTTGTCGCGTACATTATAATTATTTTACATTCCCCACGTTGCGACTTTCGACCTCTTTACATTATAGTAAGGTCATCCTAGGCAAGTGAGGTTAAGGTGGAAGACTGGTGGAAGACTGTCACACTTACCCATTAATGAGGCTAGTGCAAGTATAACAAAACGCTTCCTATTGTAGTAATTACAACCACAGATATAATAATATACTTTATTATTATATCTGTGGTTTTCGACAAAATTGATGAGATGATACTAATGTCAATATATTTTATGATCTATGCCAATGATTTGAACGTCCATTTTTGTGTACCTAACAATGATTTTTCCGCGTGGAGCGAGTGTGACTGTATTTAACCGATATAATAATGTGCCTTTGAATGGATTTATGTCACACTTGCTCTGGATGTATTGTACCCAAGTGTAAAAACAATGTAAAGAGAAAAATTACTTTAATTCAGAAACGTTAACAATCAATAATAATATAACCATAATGTTTTGGTACTTGTATAATATATGCTATTTTTAGTTGATAAAACTTAATTATTAATGTGGTAATTCTTTAAAATGACAACACAAAAGGCCACAAAAGAATAGAACAAACGTTTTATTGTTCAAAATTGACAGTTATGTATGGCTTGTACTAACTGTCTAGGCTCTAGGCATTCATAATTATACTAGGCGTTCATTTCGAGTTTGCCGTCGCCGACCGTTATGACGTCACAGCTGACGGTACCGTAGACAAAACTATTATTGTAAGTGTTTTAATTATTGTACGAAGTTCGATTTTTAGTTTGTTGTCCTGTACAGAGAAATGGAGGGCAAGCAAGTAGATAAAATGCATATTATTGAATAATTTATTTAGTTAGTAAAATAAAATAATAAAACTGAATAGAAACGTGTCCGATAAAATAAAATATTTTCATTATAGTTTTATTATATATTCTAAATAAATTATTTACGAAGGCGCGAAAAAAACTGGCAGGTAGTTATTTGAAATCCATAACTTCCATACCAGTTATTTTATCAAAATCGTTCGTCCCTGTATCACTGCCATCACTACATTCTGTGTTTATCACAAATTAACGAACTTAAAAAGTCAATCGAAACAAAAAATTAACAGTAACAAAAACAACAACAAAAACAGTAACAAACAAGAGATCGCACGGGAGCACAAACAACGGACGTAAATACATTTCAGCGTTGCTATCGGTACTATATGGGCGACGCTTGAGGCGCGGTATGAGGGAGCGCGGTGGGAGGTAACGGCATTCATGATGTGAACACGTTAGTAATAACAAATTATGGTTACTTGCAAGTTCCGACATTTTGTATTACACATTACTTGATTAAAACTGCGCAGCACCCCTTATTTATTTAGTTAACGCATCGTACTGTTCACGCAATTTGGTACATATAGCAGCTGCCTCTTGAACGTCATTCATGTTAAGGGTGCGGGAGACTAGGAGTAATAGTGTTCTGTCGCAGGAGACTCAAGTCGACTGAGCTCTTCGCAAAGTAGTACGAGTGTGTAGTCACGTTCTTCGGACTGCGATCAATTTCGACGAGCACTTCGTCAAAGTTACTTCGCGAGTAGTGTAGAGGAGGCATAAGCCAAAGAGTATAATAACTGTCCTATAGCATAAGCGTAAGCTAAAGTTGTTAAAGACGTGACCACTGAGTACTTTTTATAAACTAGTGCTCTGTGGTGAAGACGAGGTTTGGCCTTGCTACATATTTATTTATCTATGGGTTTGGTGGAAACTTGACCGGCGACGGTTTGCTGCTCCTGTATTATTGTTTAAATAATGGTTTGAAGAGAACTTTGATATGTAAAAGTGGTGCGATTTTGTGTATTAAGTGTCTGCACATGTGAACTATTAGTGGAAACTGTGAAATAAGTGCTCTGATGGTGATATGATTCTCAAAATAAGGTGTCTGTCTGCTTAGGCGCCTTGAGATACCATCGCCAACCGTCAGCTGTCTGCTAGCTCAAGTTGCCGTCAAAATCTCCCAAGGACTGCACAATGTGACGCATCAACATATTGTGAAGCAGTATACTATGAAGGATAATTATATTAAAATATATTCTAACTTCAGGCTCAGAAGGGCTAGATCCCAGAGCCGTAAAGCCAGTTATTAAGTGTGGTGAAGACGTGCAGAGATTCGTGTAGATAGTGTTTCTATATAGTACGGATGTGACATTGAGTGAAAAAAATCGATTAATAAAAAATCGATTTTTTGCTTTGTGATAATAATCGATTTAAGAAAAATCGATTTTTTTATAAAAAAATAATCGATTTTTGCGAAAAAAATATTATATTCGGAAAATAATCTTCTGGTTTTAGAAATAAATTACAGAACAATTTTTTAACATATAACTTTGAACAATAAAAAACTAAAAATAATTACTGCCACAAATGTTCAGTGCCATTTAACAATTTATTACAACCAAAATAAACAGAAACGATAAATTAAACTAAGTTTTATGGATTTTATCGCGTGCGTTTAATTTAACTTTTTAATTCCCCACATTTCAGGTGCTTTACAGCATGCATGGTCACAGAGGGGACTGAGGTGTTTGACGTCCCTATGTCATAGTTGAACCACAAATCCTCGCAAAAGAACACCGATTCCTACCAAGGATAATTCGCTAGGCTATCAAAATTAAAAAACATCCTAATTTCAATAGAGAAGATGGATGGATGCTGCCATCTGCTTGGCATCCTGTAATTAATAAAATTAAATCCAAACCCAAGCATACCACTGTAAGACTTCAAGATACTGTAAGCTCATTCTGCGTAGATCGGACCAAAAATAAATATTAAAAAACTGAATTTAGCCAGGCTAATTATGACATCTGGACGTCAAAGACCTCAGTTCCCCCCGCGACCATGGGTGCTGTGAAGCACCCGAAACGTCAGGAATTAAAAAGTTAAATTAAGCGTGATCAAATCCGTAAAAATTAATTTCATTAAATGTGTAATCTTCGCGTAAATATAAGAAATCATTAAGAAACCATAATTTTAGTAAACGATAGTTTTTTTTTTAAACTAAGTTTGAACAAACAAAAAGTCTAAATATCATTATGCCACTAATGTTCAGTATCATTTACATTGGATTAGAATGAAAATAAAATAAAAATATAATAAAAATATAATTATAAATAATCTGACGACAACCTTTTGATCTCAAAACTAAAATAAAAGACAAATCTTTTTTTACACTAGTGTAAACAAAAAAAGTAAAAAAAATATTGCCATGAATTTTCAGTTAAAGACTTTAAAAACAATCATTTCACCAAAATTCTTCTTCGTCTCTTTCCCAAAATACGGTTTCGTTTTTTCCTGACAATATTTCCCGCTTTCAAAAATAATCTTTCGGCTGGCGCGGAACTGGCCATCACTGAGAGGTGTTTAAAAGCCAATTCGGTTAGTTTAGGGAAAGTTCCTTCAGAGCTTCTCCATATATTGAGGACATCTGCCTTGAGATTTGATAGTGGTGCCGTAATATATAGATTCAATTCAGTATTTTTGCCTATTGACGTGTTAGCCGCTATCATTTTTTCATTATAAAATACTTCTGTCAGTCACTTTTACGCGTTTCACAAGACATTTTTATTGTTTATATATAGCTGTTTACACTAACCAAAGAAAGAAAGAAAACCACAGAATACTTTTACTCTTAGCGGAGGAAGAAACCTGTTGAAAACATACGAAAAGCGAAACTGTTTTACATACATAGAGATACTTATGTATCTCTATGTATGTAAATCATTTTCGCTTGAAAGGTGGCGCCGTCTTTTGATTGACTTATTCATATTATTGAACTTACTTCACGTTTTTACATCCATCGCACAGATGACTCTGATTACAAAAATCGATTGAAACGCGTAATTTACATAAAAATCGATTTATTAAAAATCGATTTTTATTATAGAAAAATCGATTATATCAAAAAAATAATCGATTAATATTAAAATCGATTATTTTTTCACATCCCTACTATATAGTTTGTGGTGTATAATCTACTAGTTAGTCTGTGATTATAAATATACTAGAACAAGAATACATACTTTATGTGTTAATTATTAATTTGCCTTTGGTTTTGGCTTTTTGGTCTCATTAGTTTTAGATAAAAAAATACGTGTAATTAATTTATAAGCCTTAAAATCTTATTGCAATGAATGACAACGAAAAAGAAGAGGCAGCTAATTTGGTAACATACTTTAATTGTTAAAAAGGTGTGTGTTTTCCTTATTGAATAGTTTATTGTTATTGAAATACATATTTTAATTCAGAAAGAAGAGTTTGAATGGGTGCTTCGTGAAGAGGTGCACGCTATATTACATCAACTTCATTCTGTTTTAGTGGTAAGTCATAATTCTCATTCGGTTCATTAAGTACACAATTAAAAACAGGATGTAAACAATTTTTAAATTTATTGTCTTGGTAAAGTACATCCATAATATGTTATTTTTATTTTGATTCGTCTTACTCTAAGTATATTCATATTTTATTTATGTAATAGGGTCACAAACTGTATTTTGCAATATTAATAAGTCAAAAAATATCATGTTGACTACATGATATTTTTTAAGAAGAGCTGAAGAAGTTTCAGTACATAGTTAGGGTTGCAAACCAAATTGTATTATGCGTGTTACATTAAGGGTATGATTCGATATTCACTGTAACTATTGCAAGGTGTGAAGTCAATTCAATATACCGTGAAGCTGTCTCTTTTTAGTGTGCTATACTGGTTACTGCTTAAAACGGAACACAGTCCAGTATATTGTCATCCCCATTTTTCAACACTGTTTTCAAATGAAAATATTTATCAAATATATATTTCATTAAATAAAATTATTACTTGAATGTTATTGCATTTAAAACTTAATGTCCGTGTTTAGTTGAATAACAATATTAATTAATAATAATAACAATCAATTGTGGTAGCTGTTAAATCTATAGGCACTGTTAGTTTAGTTTTAGTTTACGACAGACTGTTTTCTGCAACTCCACGTCTATGCATGTATTTTGCGTGGTGGCAGGAATAATGTAATTATTCAAGCCATGAGATTTCTCCGAAGAAGCTCAACAGTCCTTTGATGTTGCATGCAACTTTAGGGAGTGATCCCGGCATGCCGAGATGTTTAGCTCTGTATGTAGTGACCTCCGGACATTTCAGTAGCACGTGGGCCACCGTTTCTTCCTCCCCCATACATGCCCTGCACAGGGAACTATCTGTAACACCTACAGTAAATAAATGTTTGTTAAAGGTGCCGTGTCCTGTGATATTACTTGTTACTATCCTGGGCTTGTTCAGTCTCATTAAAACTTTGGTTAAACAACTGTTTATTTCAGGCAGGGCCTCCCTAGCTTGTCTACAGTCTACTACATTTTTCCAAAGCTGAATGTGTTGTAAGTGAAGTGTATACGTGAACGAACATTACCAAAGGGGATTAGTATGATTGGTTCTGGCCCTATAGTGGCCAGAGCCGATCCTCTTCTAGCCAGTTCGTCTGCTGCATTGTTGCCTCTGGATCCACCGTGTCCCTTTATCCATTGCAGAGTTACATTGCTGTTTTACATACCTCATTTGATTGTTGATGGCATTCATATATTAGTCCCGAGTTCACCACATTGCAACTCAGAGCTTGTAGTACCGCCCTGCTGTCAGTCAGTATTCTGATGGAAAAGTCATTAATCTTCCTAGCATCTATTGCAATGGCCGCTTGAATGATACCCATACATTCCGCCTGAAAGACTGTTATGGGTACCCAGTAGTGTGCATGTGTGGATATTGAGGTCTTCAGAGGAAGTTCCTGATCCTACACCTTCATTTGTTTTAGAATCATCGGTGAAAACTCTCTTGGGCTCTTTTGGGCTTAATCCTTCTGGCTGGCTGGTTTAATTTAATTGTATCTTGTACTTCTTATCGAATATAAATTGTTTACAAATCTTATCGTACTTGGCTTGTAAGATAGGAATTTTTGAGTGAATTCTATCAATTACGTCTGTATGAGGGACACTATTCTTACTCCAAAGATTTAGGGTCTTGAGTCTGATGGCAGCTAAAGTCACTTATTGTTGTATATGTAGATGAAGCAGGGTTAGCTCCAGCATCGCATCTAAGGCTGCTGTTGGCATAATCCTTATGCAGCCTGTGGCAGCCATACATGCCTGTCTCTGGTAGCGCTGAAGCTTCTTTATAGTGGTGGCTTCATTTGTCTTGGTCTACCATACCAGAACGCTGTATGTGTTCATGGGCCAAATTACAATTTTGTACAGCCACAGTATGATTTTTGGTGTCAGACCCCATCTTTTGCCAATCATGTTTCTGCATTGCCAGAAATTTATACTAGCTTTGTTGATTTTGTTTTAGGCGCTGTTATATTTTCAAAGTAAAGTTATTGTAATCAAAGTGCTGACCTTAACTCGAAAGTGTCAGTGCTCACAGTACAAAAATGGGGGCAATTTATGACGTCATATATTTCCCTAGAGTACTGTGGAAGTATACTGGCAGTCCATAATGGAACAAATTTTTCACCAGTGAGAGCTCTGAGCAATGCTCGCAGTTTATATCGGAATATACCCTTAATTTTAAAGTGACACTGTTGAATAATATATGTATAGATATAAAGTTTTCAAGGAATATTAAAATTTATATGCAACTGTTGATAACTTTACCTAAATTGGAAAAATGTAGTAAAACTTATGTCTTTTGGTCTTAATAAATAATAATGTGAAAATAATTAATAACATGTTCTAAAATGTTGTTCTAAAAGAATATTCAAATTCTAAAAGATATTATATTATCTCCAAGGTACTACAATTCTTTCATTTCTCCCTAAGGAGCTATTATTTACCTCCTAAATTTCCATAATTTAATAAATTATAACTGTGATATGTGTATAATTTCTTAGATTATTTAATTTTGTCCAGGAATGTGCTCACAGATTTCCGGTTCCTTTATATGGGAATGAAGGACAGAAGCAAGATAAATTCATTCTTACCTCACAGCCTGAGCAATTAAAATGTATTGTTACATTAACTGGTGATAGTATCACACATGCAGTAAGTAAAAACTCTATTTTAATATTAAACTTTACAAATACAAATTCCTAATATTTTAGTAATTTTTTTCATTAATTGTTGAATAATTTTTATATTTATTATCTTATCACCAGAAAATGAAATCACACTTTATAAAATATTGATGAACCTTTAATTTTTTTTCTATGATAAGCTATTATTATTCCCTGTAATCCTTTTTATCTGGGAATTAATACTATTACACCTACTATGTTCATTCAGTAAGCATGCATGTTTTAAAGACAACCTACTCTCCCTCTGAATCTGTTCATTAACACCTACCAACTTTGTTTTCTCATTCCTCCCAGGGTTGGGTGGAAGAGAATGCCATAAGGCAATAAGTCCGCTCATTGGTAACCCTTTGAATGAGGTGTCTTACTTTAAATAAAGTCCACACTAAGAAGAAAGAAATAATGAAACAATTTTACTTTACGCTTTATAATCAACCCAAAAGAGATGAAATATTTCTTTAATCATTAGTAGATTTTAAAGTCACATCTTTAAAGTTCACTACCACCATATTTGGTCAGAGTTCATTAAAACTAAACTGTACCTGTGTATTCAGATGTATTTTAATGTTTGTGACACGCATCTGCTAGTAAAAAATACTTTTAAGTTCACAAATATCTTAATATAATCTATCATATTACTGTCCAACATTTAGATTTTTTTATGCTTTCTCTATCTGCCCCCAAAAGTCTACTGCTGGACAGAGGCCTTGCTAGTTGTAGGGTTTGCCTTTATTATCACGCTTGGTAGACAGATTGATGATCTCAGTGCTAGTTGTCTTACATCTTGGAAGCTGTTGCCCATTACTGGTCTGGGTATTTTAAATATGACATATTATAGTTATGTATATCTGTCAGAAGCCAAAAGATTTTTCTGGCATTTTCCATAGACATAAAATGTGGTGGTGGACTATTTCACTGCCAACAAGGGCCCATAATTTATGGTATACATACCCTTTAAATGTTATTTTACAATGTAATTACTTCTAAATTTTTTATCAAGGTTATAACAATATTCTTTAATCTATAAAAAATAAATATAAAAGGAATGCATTTTGTGACTAGGTAACAGAATCCCATCCTATACTTGTAAAGAGAGACAAATGTGAGAAATTTCAAGAGATCTTTTAGCAAAAATAAACATTTTTTTATATTAAAGTACCTTAAAATCAATGGCACCTATGATGTAGCACAACTGAGATTAAGAATCCACATGCCAAGATTTATTTATTTATTTTTATAAGTAATTTAATGTAATGCTGATATAGTTATAACTAACTTATAATTCATATTAAACTTAGTTTCATATGCTTACTTACTGATAACAATTTCATTGCTACTAGGACATCAGCTTCAAGGTTTTGAGGCAAATGCACTCAATATGTCGTACATCAATCAATCAGGATGGGCCTTGGAAGTTGCAACAGATACAGGATGCGGCTAATCATTTGCAACAGGCAATTGGCTATATTGATAATGTAGATAAACATTATGTTTTCAGGTAATTATAAATAAAATACATACAAGATTTTTTATCATGATTAATAATGAAAGCTATCTATCAAACATATAAATTATAAAGTAACAAATAATAGTAGAAATAATAGTAATCACCACAAATTTAAAACAATTAGAAAGTATTCCTTTATCCTTTTAACTGGTTTTATGTAAATTAAACAAATATAATATTTTTTTACTAACCGTGCCTACAACCTCCTATATGTAGAGGTATGTAAATATGTGCAATCTTAAATCAACAGATAGCTTATCTAACCAAGTGAATGCCCTGATATTATTATTCTTCATATTATTTATAGCAGTATAAAATAGCTCATCATTATCATTGTTACAGCAATTCACAGGTCCACTGCTGAACAAAGGCCTCCCCCAAGGAATGCCACATAGCATGGTCCCGAGCGACCTGCATCCATTGCATGTCTTAGCAGGTCGTCACTCCATCTAGTGGGGGGACGCCCTAACTTCGCTTGCTGGTACGAGGCTGCCACTGGAGAACCTTTCTTCCCCATCGGTTGTCAGTTCTTCAAGCTATGTAGCCGGCCCATTGCCACTTTAGCTTACTGATCCATTGCACTATGTCGGTACTCAGATTCTACTGCGGATATTTTCTCACTAGGACAAAAGAAGATTGTAATAATCAATTTTAGTTATAATTGCTGTGCCCACAAACCTCACACACACAGATTACTGATATGACGTCTTGATTTAGTTTTCCAATAAAATAAGACAGCAATACAATTCGCAAATACAAATAAAAAAGCTATCCTATTTCATTAGTACAATACAACTACAATAATGTTTCTTTGTAAACAATGTTATCAGTAGAACTACTGGTAATGTATGTGAATAATGATTGTTGGTATTGCTAATACGGGAGCTAGTTATTTGAAACGTAAAATGATGAGAATTCATTGTGTGCATGATGTGATAAACACATGTAAAAATTTATCATAATTGTATTAATAGTGCAGTCTTTGTATTAATCATGATTTTTTTATAGGATAAGGGTAACAAACGAGCACACAGTCAACCTGATGGTAAGTGGTTGCTCCGGCCTATAGACATCTACATTTATCCTCAATTAAAAATAAAAATGCAGATGCGTTATCACATCTGAGGACTAAAATGGAATGCCTCGTTTCCAGTAAAAAGGGTCTCCGGTTCTCTACACTCACCACACGAAACACAGCAGCGTTAAGATGCTATTTTACGCTGGTATTCTGTGAGAGCGTGGTCCTTCCCCGGTCGAGTCGACCCATTCGTGCTACAACTATACTACTAATATAGCTGCAGCATGGCTCTACCATTTTTACCATTATAAAAAAAAACTAACCGCACAACTTAATTTTACCGTTACATAAATTTTGCTATTAATATTAAAACTTGTTTCTATTTTTCTAAATTAGATCATCAGAAGAGGTACTACACATTATACAATGTCTGCTTGGTTCACTGCAGAGAGCCCGTACTGCATTAGTTTTACCTAAGAAAAAAGCCATTGATGAACTTATGAAAAGTCGAAATATGGTAAATGAAATTTTTCTTGAGCAATAACACAATATTCTATTGATATTTATTAAAATGTAATGTCGTATATTTTCAGAAAGCGCTATCACCAAATCTGCCTGAAGATTTAGCAATATCATTCTATATACAGTCCCATAAACTGATATTTGTAGCTTACCAATTAAGTTCGGTTCATGGTACAATGCGTATAGACTCTTGTCAGGCAGATTGTGCAGTACCATGGCTAAGTGATGTTTTGTTCATGTTGACAGCTGCATTGCACATGTGTCAACAACTAAAAGATAAGGTAAGGGACTTTTTGTAAGTGAATTTTGATTATTTATAAATTAATTGAAAAAATGGCTCTCCAACAATTGAAGTAATATGTACTACGTACTTGAAGAGACTCCCAGACTTGGTTGTTTGCAACACGCGTAAGAGCTCACGGGCACAAACATACCTTGTCTGTGCCATAAGGTACTTTGTGCCTCTGACTATGCCCAACTCACTACTGCACATATTTTGTTTGTGGTGTATGTTCTAGTATGTAGTACATATTAATTCAATGTATTCAACCGCATTTTCAATTGATAATCTGTACCTATTATACTCATTAACTCATTATAATAGTCCGCAACATGGTCAGAACATTTCTTATAAGTAAAAATTTTATAGAATTCTTACTTTCCTGTTTTATATTTCTGATTTCCTATTTTGGGTCGCACTCCTTTTTACTGAATGTTTTCGCACCGCAGTCTAGTGGTGATCAGCACTACACAAATTAGAAGACTTTGACGCTTTTTGCATTTGAGTTTCAGCTACGCTTAAACCTCTAAATATCGGTTCTATATCGGTATTCTCGGGACCTTTCCACATTCCTGTCATATATTTATAATTAAATAAATAAGATAATACTTATATACAAGTATATTATGTTTAAACGTGAGCAGCTGATGGAATGATAATATATCATTATAGATCTTATCTTTGCTATTTATTAGACCATATGGACGATTTAAACTTATAATCATGCACATGATACACCCATATAAAAATAATATGTTTTGCTTTTCAATTAACCAACTTCAATATCTAAACTGCTGCAACTGTACACGGGATTTGAAGATTTCATTTAATTGAATATGTATTTCTTGAAGTGTTTATCATATTATGTGGACTTTTCAAATTAGTGCACAATTTTAGCCTTAATATCTTTTTTCTTAAAACACACACACACAAAGAGCGAAAGAGAAATCCTCATTTTTGGAAGTCAATTAAAAAATTGACAATCCTAGGCAATGGCAATGCTGTTTGCTTTTGTGTTACAGTTCCTTTTTGCAACATTGCCTGCTGTTCTTCTAGAAGTAAATAAGAATATTTATAAAAAATAACAATAAAAACAATATAAAATGATAGGTGTATTTTCTTACCTTAAAAATAAATCAAAAGGTTATACTTGGTTTTCTATAAGAAAAATCAAAAGTTTTGGATCCCTCGAAATTCCACACTGCTTCCGCAACTTTTTTACATATTTACAAAAATACGATAATGTTACATCGTAACTAAATATTAAATTGTGTTGCCACAATGATGATTATATTTATAACATAATTGAAAGTAAAAAAAATCGAAATTTTATGAGCTATTTGTAGTTCTGTCAAAAACGTAAATTTAAATTTAGTTGTCACAGCTGGGTAAGGCTCAAATTTTTTGCGCAGTCACACATTGGAAATTACAACGGAATGTGTCAAAAAGAAAAAAACGTTGCACAACGAAATTTGTAAAGTGTAGTGCACATGGGTTGTAAAATATTTTTGTACATAAACTGTTTGTTTTAATTTTATTTATAAATCAATAATAATAATTAAGTATACTTACGTCACTACTAACGGGTAACGGCTGCCTAGAATATACCCCTTGAAATAGTGAGGGAGATCAATTACATAGTCTTAGCTCATTACAATTGCATAGTGCGAGATGGCGGACCTGATCCTGTGATCCGGGTATACCCTGGACGTAAGTACTTAATTACCTACATAATTATTGGGGTATACTATTAAATAAAACTAATATAATATGCAAAATTCAAAAATCAAAAAGAGTCTAGATAGATGATACAAGGTGTTAACAGTATCGAAAAATGTAATATATTGAGAGTTGTATACTCTTAAATATTTCGTCACAATCTTCAGTTAAACTGTACTCTCCTGATTTCTCAAGTGCAGTTAATTTAACTTTTTTAACTATTGAAACGTTGGTAACAATTTTAATATCTTTATTTTTCGGTATTTTTATGAATTTTATATAACGATCTTGTTCTTTAATTCTTTACAAAATGAATTTCATAAAAAGTGTTTGATTTCACATATTTCATTTCAATCTTATCAATAAAGCCTACGCAATATTTCCAGCTCTTTCTTTGGTAGTATCTTACTAATATACTGTCTCTTATTTTATATATTTCAGGCACATCTGGGATGTTGTGTTTGTTTTTACTGTGTTTTCATGTAGTAATTTACTACGATATTTGCGACGTTGCCTATTATCAATATTGGGTACGACTAGCTTTTCCACCTTTTCGTCTTTTTTAATTTTTTTATGCTTTGTTCTCTCAGCATTCTTCTTTTTCTGGATGGAGATTGTCTAAGGCAACTGAAAAATATTGATTATCAAATAGATTAAAAAAAATTCAATTGCATTTTAATATGATTTTTTTCATTCATTCAATGCATTTTAATATGATTTCATAAATTGAGTAGAAAGTTGATAGGTACACAGCTTTACGATTTCCATTGTGACACGTCACACAATTTCGTGTCATACGTCGCACAACGGATCAAATATTCTACACATTTTAGCCTAAAAAAAATCATAATTCATGAAATTTACTATATTGCTCATTCTAATTGTTATATTTTGATAATTAAATACATGATAGATATGATTTACTCTCTTAAATCAGGATAACCATTTCAATTTCGAAAATATAACAAAGTAAACTTACAATTTCTTAATGACACGTAGCGACGTCCGACACGTTCGTCCATCTGACGCAAAAACAAAATGGCGGAAGCATCCAGAAGTTAGTCCAATTTCATGGGCCTGTGTTGCCACTTTAACTATATGGGCAGTTCCATGGTAGAATAGAAATAAATCCCAAATCAGCGTTGCACAACTGAAGTGTCACACTGGATTGAAATTTAGGACATTTTGAAATTAATAAATATATAATCAAAACGCGTTGATAATATAATTAGCTTGTTTTAGTAAAATTAAACCTTTCATATTCTGTAGGCCATAAAATACGCAGACTAAAACAACAACGATTTCTCAAAAATTTCGAATAGTTTTTGAAAAGTGTACGTACACGGACATCAACAAATTGTATGGGAGGAAAATATGAACATTATTATTTTTAATTATAAAATAGGGATATTATGGAATAACATTTAAATAAAAAAACAAACACGATGAAAAATAGCTAATTTCCTTGAGTTAATAATAAAAATAAAGTATTTATTATTTTTAATATTTTATTTCTTGTCTTCAATTTCTCGGACAGCGCATTTTTAGATAGTGCGCGAAAAATTTGAGCCTTACCCAGCTAACTTTGCTAAAACTGCTAAGTTTCATTTATTCTTAGAAATTACTTCCAAAAAATTTAATTAAAAGAATATTTCTCGGTAGCTATGTACTATATGTTATAAAACATGGAAGGTAACTAGAAGTAAATACAAGATAACACCAAAATATATCGCACGAGTATGGTAACTAACAAAAACACTGCCTATCTTCCCCTTTTTTAATTTTACCAAAACGAAACTTATGAAATAGTAAAAACGGACAAGAATTATAAAGAATGAGAAATAATTTCCACATTTATAATTTAACGATGTTTCCAGCATTAAACTTAAAGATTTTATTTATGTATGGCTTAATAATTGCTGATAGTCAAAAGCCTTTATGACAATTATTTATTATGACTAAGTTATTGATTAAGAAATCAATAGGAATTATAAACGAGAGTTTTTTTGAATTATCATATGAAAATAGGGCCATAAGCTGCTGTTTATGTTTTCAACTCTAGGGGCCCTACCTGATTAGTGATAGTGATCACCACTACGATTTGGACATACGATTTGGCACATAACACTAGATCGAAAGACGCTTTCTTTCTATAAGGCTTCCCGAGAAATTATGCAAAATGAGGCCTAGTGACCTTATGGACCTACAATAACCTACATCTTGAGATGTGATACTAAACAAAGCACTGGTATGCCATATTATCTTCCCAAAAATAAAAGGATGCCCTGTAATAGTTTGCTCTACTTTTTTGTTTTAATAAAAAGCACTGCACTTTCAACTATACTAAATTTTAATTGTTATTGACATAATAAAACAGATAACAAGTCAAACCTTAATAGTATAAAACTTCAATATTATATCTATATTATTATTCTGAATTCTTATTTTCAGCTTTGCGTATTTTCACAATACAAGGATTTTACGGTTGGATCAAGATCTGCTTCAATGGTGTTCAATTAAATATTAGAGGAAAGCTAGCCGCTTTACACGTCCAGCACCGATTGTTATCCAGTAATTTAATATTAATCGCATTTATAAATTATAATTAAACACATAAATATACATACTTACCTTTATGACGTATTATATAGAATGATCTGTAAGTAATCCAGTAAAAAAAAATTGTGGTGAGTGTATCTATTTATTTATAACTAATTTATATGTAATTCTACATATACCTATTTATTACTACATAGTTATTGTGTCCATCGTTGTTAATCTTGTTGATTTTGTTGTAACCGTGTAACAATTGTAATATAATGTATAGATGATGTATAAACTAATATATGAACGTTAGTTGTTTAAGAGAACACAAATTAATTAACTTAGCTATGGATTTCTTATAAATTATGTGTTGTCTTTCTTTATTAAACAAAGAAAAATAGCAGTAATTTTAAGAAATAGTAACTGAAAAAATAATTTGCACCTCACATGTTTAAGGCAAATCTTTCAAGTGCAAGTTGCCAATTTTAAGAGGCAATATCCAAGTCGATTAAAGAGCTGATAAAGAAGAAGTTCACATTCAACTTATTGCCGTTACAAATTTTGAAATTCTTGCACACAATTATTGAAAAATTTTCTTTAAAATTATGTTTAACAACCGGTATATTAAAAATGGAGGTTGTTAAACATTTACATTACTAAGGTTTATTTTTATTATTTAATACGCAAAATGTATGTACCAAATAAATTGGAAGAATATTTTAGGCAAATTTTATTTTGAAAATATGCATGATATTATTTAATCATGTAAATGCTTGTTGAATGGTGTAAAAATTAATTACCAATACAATTGTTTGTTAAAATAACGTAATTAATACAGTATAAACATACTATTTACGATTTAACACGTGATGTAGTATTCTTATTCCTTCGTATTAATTTGTTTGTTTCTTATAAGCTGCATCTGAGCAAGCACCAAACCATAATTATAACATATTACTTTGACAGTATTAACACAAAATAAATAACAATATATCTAAATTTATTAAAAGAAACTGTTTTGTAGTGGCTCTAATATTTATTAAAATTATCTTTTCCATAATATGATACTGGCAATGTTAATTAAAACTATTTTAATGTGCTTTGTAACTGCCTTATCATTTATTATTAAAGGCAACAATTTTACGTTTGATTGCATAGATCTGATTTGTTTCAAGAGAAATACAATAAATGTAACAGAACAGCTGTCTGCACTTTTATACAATAACGGTGTACTAGTATAATTTTGGAGTTAATGTAATAAAATTATATGTTTATATTCTCTCGAATTGTAGATTAGTAAGATAAGCTAAGTAAAAAATCCAGTGCCACGACTATAGAAAAACTAAACGAAGGGTCTATGAAACTGATAGCAATATCTTCAATACATTTAAAAAAAAAAGAATTTATTATCATAATAAAGCTTCATGAGAAAGAACTCCGCGAAGCGAAATTATTATAAGAATTACTATCAAATAATTCAATGTTTAATAAAACTTTACGTTCAACTTTGCCGCCATTTTCACGGATTGACAAATTTCATAAAGTTTTTGCTGAAGATGAAGTAGATAAATAAAAGTTGCTTAATTGTCTAATTGATAACATTTTACCTCCAAGATAAAGATGTTTTAGTTCATGCTTGATACAAATATTTAACCTTCGTTCTATTGCTTTTTTTTTGTTAAACTGTAATACAGAATATACAAAGCGATATAATTGTAATGGTGCTTGTTTTAAATGTCTTCTGATGGAGCTCTGCATTAAAGTTCAGGGTATTTGATAATAATTTATTTATTTAAACTTCAGGTCTTAATTTACGAAAAAGGCTATAGTATGTAGCTTTGTTATTGATTGTCGTGGCAAGGTGGGGGCAGGAGGGTCATGGCCCTGTCCGGCATTTTATGGAAAGAAAAGTTGGTTCTTCCTTGGCCTTAACTGATATCGGTAAAAATCTCAAAAAATCTGAAAATAGCATTTGATTAAAATATTAATATAATATAATAAAGTATTGAAATATTATAACAGTTTAGCAATAAAAGGTCTGAATATAGAGATAATCTACACACATACACACACTTAGCAAGGATGGGGATAAGTATAAAAAATACAATATAGTATCGTATTGCGCATTTACAAATACTTAAAATACATGGCGTATACAAGACTTACCGATTTTGTTAGAAATGTTTGTAAAAATTAGGGGAATTGAGGTGAGGCGCGGCATTTATAGAGGCTCAGGGCGGCAGTAATGTGCTGTCCCACTGTTAAGGAAAAAATTACGTTTGTTAATTTAACCTGTACTGTTCTTTATGATTTACTTATTAGACACAGTGAAGTCATGTTTCAGTTAATATGTCTATTTTGAATTATGGCGGCGGAAGTGTTTTAAATGGACCGTTCAATCTATGAATCTAATAAATCCTGTTACATTCTAGAAAATCTTAGAATATTCTGTGTGGTTTGTAAAAGAATAAGTATGTTTTTATCAAAGACTTCTTTTTATACTATTAGACATTCTATGTATACTATTAGACAGGTTCTGCAGCCTTAATACAATTGCGCAAACAGTCGATCAATTCTCCGTAACTCTTATAGTCGACTACGACAAAACTACTAAAATTACTATTAAAACTTACAAGTTCCATTACATTCTGCCTAATCCAAGCGTGCAAGTTTTAAATAAATATTTTACACAAATTTTTTTAATTACATTTGGTGAATGTTAGTTTTTTTTTAATTCGACAATAACACTGTTTAATGTGACTAAAAAAACGATAAACACTATTATTATGTGCACACTTTTTCCACGTGATTTGAAGATTATTGCACATAATTATGTAAGTTACTTTATTTCATATTTGCCTAAAAATAATAACTGTCGTAAAATGAAAAAATACAACTGCGTGGTATATTTACCGTGCCAGTTATTCGCGCGCCCAACGCTATCCACAGCTGTGACATATTATTTGTTCTGAATAGCCAGTCTAGTAGTATTATATAGAAGTCTTTGGTTTTTATTACTAGTGTACAATTGGAATTGTAACACGTTTAAATATCAATATGCAACAGAAACTGTTTTTATATATTAATATTGCTGTCATTTTCTTTCTCACTTTATAAAGTTTCTATAAAGCATTTTAACATATAATTCCTTATCCGATGATTAGGAATAGAATCAAAAGTTTAATATTTCATCAGATAATGGTTTCTTTAAAATAACCGCGCTAAGGAATTGCATAGTATATATGTAAGTAATCCTAATATTTTAACACAAGTAAAATGTAATAAAAGCACTACGTAGTCACAATTATGTATGAAACTATTTAGCTGGTTTACTAGTTTAAACAATATTGTTTTTTATTTGTTTAAAACATGTCTACCAAATCCATTTACCGGGTAAACTACGTCTAGGTAAATGCTTATTTTTATTTGGCGTAAAGCGTATCCCATACATAAGCGGCTTGCGGTGGTAGCTGAAAGCGAGCCGCGGCTCCAGCCGCTGCAACAACACACCTCTGCGATTGCAGTGGCGACCTGAAGCACCATTCGTTGCGTGTCTGTCGTAGACTGCTACGATACAGTGATCGTAACACAGACATCACTGATATCATGTCAGTCAACATGGCTAACCGTGACGAAGTCTTATTACTCTTATTGTATTCAGCAATATTATCCCATATTTTGTTTTTAATCTTAATGCATTTATAATCACGGTGTGAAGTATTATAAAGTTCTGGATAAATTTGCACTGCTTCTATTAAAATCTCTTTATTTAGCGACATTTTTAACGCGGTACAAGCGGCCAGTTGTAAAAATTTGCAACTAACCGCGCTGCGGCCACCGCACGCTTGCTAACACACGCGGTGGAGGAGGGAGCGGAGCATGCGCCCGAAATGACTCTGACTGAATGTTTGCAGACTCATTTGCATTGCAAGCGATTACAACTGGCCGCCACCGCAAGCTTGTGTGTGGTAGACGCTTAACTGTTGCACACCGAACTGAAGCGGAGATTTGGGCTTTCTGTCGATCTGTCAAGATCACGTGATTTGCTCATCTTATACCGGGTTCATTATTTTCTTTTTACAAACTATTCAAAATTATTATGTAATGATTAAAAAAATATTATCAAACAATATCGAAGTTGTTTATTTGACATGTTTGACAATAATATTCTTATACTAGTATTATAAAGTAAGGTACTTTCATAGTTTAAAGACTATTTTAATTGAACTGCATAAATTATTATTGTGGTCGTGTTGTATTTAATAAATTGAATGCTGTTACAAGTTTTTACTGCTTTGGTTTTGTCATAAAAATATAAATAATCCCTGTGTGTAATCATTTCAAGCTTATAAGTAATGTACAGTTCCCTCAATCAACATAATATGCACAAATCCATCTTGTAATTCTATTTATAGTTATATATTCCTTTTATTCTTTAGTCACGGAGTCTTAAGCCGCGTATCCACCGAAAATGTTGACAACATTTATGTTTCCAACTGTTTGCAACTCAACAAAGGTTACCCAACTTTTGTTCCGATGTTTTCGCACCGAATTGAAACTATCACCAACAATTTGAGAGACATTTTATTTTACAACTTGCTGTTTCCACCAAAGTTTTGTTGGCAACAATGTCTTCAAGTGACAATATTATGCAGGCAGCCGCAGTATTTATAATTTTATGCAAAAAAACACCTGTAGTTGTAGAGTTATCCTTAATAATGCGTATTGAAGTCGGTTATAGGCAAAATTTTTAATTTCATTAGTTTTCTCTCTTCTCTCTTTAAAAAACGTTACCTCCACACTAGGATTTAATCCTGTATCGCAGGGACAGTTTACATACATAGAACAGACCTAGAACAATTATTTGTAGGCTATACAAATACTTGTTCTGTCCGGGGTTCGAAGCCGCGGCCCTTAGCGCTGCAACTCATTACTAAATCACTGCGCCACGGAACCGTCACTTGTCTGTTTCACAT